GGACACCTCCCCCCACCCCCGGCCCCCTCCCTGGCTCAGCTCTGCTTTCCACATCTCGACCCCCTCCTGCCCTTCCCTGCTGCACTCCCTGCCCGCCGCACCGGGCCCCCTCCCCGCATGCCCCCCTTTCCCCGCACGTTCCCCCTCTCCATCCCCGCCACCTCTCATGGTTGCTTTTCAGTTGCTGAGACGCGTCTCTCTTTCTTTCTCTCTCTCCCCCCTTCCCGGGCAGCTCGCCCCGAGTGCCAGTCCCTGGCCATCGTGGTTCCCCTGCAGGACGTGGTGGTCGGGGCGGGGGAGCTGGCACTCTTTGAGTGCCTGGTGGCTGGCCCTCCAGACATGGACGTGGACTGGCTATCCCGGGGCCGGCTGCTCCAGCCCGCCCTGCTCAAATGCAAGATGCATTTTGACGGGCGCAAGTGCAAGCTGCTGCTCACCTCTGTGCATGAGGACGACAGCGGGATCTACACCTGCAAGCTCAGCACCGCCAAAGGTAAGAGGCGGTCACGCAGCTCCCCGGGGGGGGTCTCGCTCGGGGCTTGGCCATAACGAGGTGCTGGGGACGGACAGTCCCCCCCTGCCCATGGGTTTGGGGCTCTGGTCCCCCCGGGATGTCACTGTGAGTGCTGGAGGTGGGGGCCACGGGGACAGGGAGTGGTTGCTGCCCCAGGAGCTGGGAGCTTTCCCCGGCTGGGAAACCTGGTGTGCATCAGTCCCGGGGCTACAGTACCCTGAGCCCTGCAGCCCCGTCCCATCCCACTCAGCTCCTCCGCTGGCGTGCCTGCAGCCCCAGAAATGTAGGGAGATGCATTTGCACAGTGGCTGCACCAGCTGGATGCAGCCCTGGAGCCCAGGTCTCCCTGTCCCCTGGCTCCAGAGCCTCCGGGCACCTGGCTCTGGTACCGACCTCTCTGCTGGCCTGGGAGGTGGCAGGGGCAACGGGCAGGGGGTCAGGGCCACCCAGCCTCTCCCACCAAACCATCACTGGTGGCAGCTGAGGAAGAGCAGCAGGACCTGGCATCTGTCCCATGGCTCCAACATCCCCCTGTGCCTGTGCATGCTGCACACAGCCTCTGTCCCCCGCAGCGGCGCAGGGACAAGGGTCCCTTTCCCATTCCCCAGCCCGTCTGGGCAGCCCCTCGGCAGTAACCCAGGCTGTGGTGAGTGCAGGCGGCAGCGGCCTTCCCAGCACCCTGCAGCTGGTGCCCGTGCGTCCCTCCATGGAGGAGGCTGTATGGCTGCGGGGATTTGAGGGCAGCAGCAGTTTTGGGGGCAGGGAGGTGAGGCTGTGCCTGAGCATGGTGTCAATGGGTGGGTGACGACACCATCGTTGCAAAGTGGTCCCAGCTGCAAAGCCTCTCACCTGGAGCACCCAGCCTGCGCCTATCCCCATGCTGCCCCTGGGTGCTGCATGTGCTGGCGCTGCCTGCTTCAGCATCACTGCCCTGTCCCCAGGGGGCTAGGCCAGCTGTGATCCCCTGTGCTACGGGGGGACAGGGCATCCTCTGGCCCCACCTTGCTGCTGCCATCTGTGCTGCTGTGAGGGGAGGAAAGAGGCACCCTGCCGCCAGCAGAGCCCCAGCCCTGGGCACTGGGACCTTGCACACACTTGTGCTCCCCCTGCCCCGTGCAGGGATGGAGCCTGGCACCCAGCACACCCGGGCTCAGCCCCAACGTTGGCTACAACCACGTCGGCTGCTGGGGCTGTAGCCGGGGGGGTCGCAGGCTGCCTCCTGCCCTGCACACACGCAGGCCGTGCAGGGCTCATCCCTACCCACTCTCCTTGCAGACGAGCTGACCTGCAGCGCCCGGCTGACGGTGCAGCCCTCCGTGCAGCCGCTCTTCACCCGCAAGCTGGAGGACGTGGACGTGGTGGAAGGGCGAACGGCGCGTTTCGACTGCATGATCAGTGGGACTCCCCCTCCGACGGTCACCTGGACCCATTTTGGTAACCCCCAAGCCCAGAGAGCTTGACCAGGGCCCTGCAGGGAGACCTCTCCCCATCCCCTTGAGGGCTGCACCCAAGGACTCGTGCCCAGCCCAGGAGGGGTGCTGATGCTGATGCTGGTGTGTGACTCTGTGCAGGCCAGCCGGTGCAGGAGGGGGAGAACATGCGGATTCAGCGGGACAGGGGGCTGCACTCACTGGTCATCGTGCACGTGGGCAGCGAGGACGAGGGGCAGTATGCGGTGACTGCCAGGAATGCCCACGGCCATGTGGAGTGCTCTGCCGAGCTCTACGTGGAGGAGCCGCGGCCGTCTGCTGCCTCCCAGAGGTAAGAGTTGGGGGTCTCCGGGATCTGCATCCCCCCTGCTTGCTCCCCCCTGGGATTTGGGGGACAATGGGCTTGTGCAAAGCCTGGAGTTGGGGCTGGGCTGGGGTCACTGTGCTCCCGCTGTAAGCGTGTGTGGGCTCTTGCAGCTCCAAGCTGGAGAAGATGCCATCCATCCCGGAGGAGCCGGAGCAGGCGGAGACGGAGGCAGAGTGCTTCACCATGCCCGATTTCCTGAAGCCGCTGCACAACCTGGACGTGGTGGAGTCGAAGGAGGCTGTGCTGGAGTGCCAAGTGGCCGGGCTGCCCTACCCCTCCATCACCTGGTTCCACAACGGCTCCCGCATCGACAGCACTGATGACCGCAAGATGATGCAGTGTAGGGCTCCCTGCTGCCCTCCCTGCCCCCTTGGGGTCCCTCCACCCGGGGCAGAGGAAAGGGGGAACACCCCGGGAGGAGGCATCACCCCCCAGACCTTCATGCCCCATGAGGCAGGGAGGGGAGCTCTACGCACATGGCTGGCGGGGTCTTACCCGTGTCCCCCGTTCCCCCTCAGATAAGGATGTCCATCGCCTGGTATTCACGGCCGTCAGCCACGCGCATGCTGGTGTCTATAAAAGCGTCATTGCCAACAAAGTGGGGAAGGCCACGTGCTACGCACACCTCTACGTCACCGGTAAGTGGCAGCACCGGGGATGTGCAGCCACTTGCTGCCACCCTGCCAGGCTGTGCCCTGGGGCTTGGGGTTGGTGGCCTTGTAGCGAGGTCCTAGGGTGACAGGATCACAGGGCAGTTCAGGCTGGAGGGGACCTCAGGAGATCTCTAATCCAATCTAAAAGCAGGGTCAGCTGTGCAGTCCTCACCTTGCGGGGTCAGGACCCATCCCTGGACCCCCAGGTCCCACATGGGACTTGCTGGCAGCCCCCGCCAGGGAACCAGTGAGGGTGGCTGGCGCCGTCCCTCTCCTCCAGCCCATGTCTCCCGGGGCGTAAGGCAGATGCCCCGAGGAGCTGTGGCAGTGGCTGTGCTCACACCCCTGCCCACCTCCACACGCAGACGTGGTGCCGACCCCCCCGGACGGGCCCCCCACTGTGGCCTCGGTGACCGGCAGAGCCATCACGCTGACCTGGAACAAGCCCAAGTGGCTGGACACTGCCATAGGTGAGGGGGCCAGGGCTGGGCAGGGGCTGGGCAGGGCGTGGGCAATGCTGTGATGGAGTGCGTGGGCCAGCCCAATGCCGGGGGCTCTGCACCGACCCTCTCCCCCTGCAGACCCCAAGTCGGTGACCTACCTGGTGCAAATGCAAGTGCTGGGCACGACGCAGTGGCTGGTGCTGGTGGCCGGCGTGCGGGACACCACTTACACGGTGCATGGGCTGACCAAGGGTGCCCAGTACCTCTTCCGTGTCATCACCGCCACCCCCAAGACCAACAGCAAGCCCTCCCCGCCTGTGGGGCCCGTGCAGCTCCTGGACCGGGGTGAGAGGGGCAGTGGGGAGGGGACAGGTGGCTGGGGTGGAGGGGCTTCTGTCCCCGGTGGGGTGGTAAGATGGCCAGGGCTGGGCAGCATGGGGTCCGGAGGTGGTGTTGATGATGCCTGTCGCAGGTCCCTACCTGGAAGAGGCCCCAGTCATCCTGGACAAGCCAGATGTGTTGTACGTGGTGGAGGGTCAGCCAGCCTCCATTACCATCACCATCAACCACGTGGAGGCCACCGTCACCTGGAAGAGGTAGGACGTGGTGCTGTGCCCGTTGCCTGCCCCATGCACAAAGAGGGGCTCCTGCACCAGCTCCTCGTGCAGCCCGTGGCGGGTGGGGGGTCCTTCCCTGGGGCTGGGCTGGGCGTGCACCCAAGGGTGATGTCCAGGGCTGTGCAGAGCTGCATGAGGGGGCCTTTTTTGGGGGGGGGTGTGCTGTCTGTGGGGTGCTAAGGGTTGAGAGCCGTTCAGGAGGCAGAGCTAGCAATGGGGTCTGAGCTGTTTGTGGGGGCTGCAGGGTGGGAGCTGGGGCCGGGGCTGTCTGCGGGTCAGGAGGTGGCCATGGGGCTGTGGGGTGGGAGCTATGGGTGGGGCAGTGGGGCTGGGGCTGGCTGTGGGGCTGGGACGGGGCA